GTGTGTGTGTGTGTGTGTGTGTGTGTGTGTGTGTGTGTGTGTGTGTGATTTTCGATACAGGGTTTCTCTCTTCTCCTGGAACTTACTCTGTAGACCAGGCTGACCTCAAACTCAGAGATCTGCCTGCTTCTGCCTCCCAAGTTCTGGGATTAAAGGCATGAGCCACTACGTCTGGCTTCTTTAACATTATTTAATTATTTTTCTTTTAGCATAAAATGATACAGATTTAACTTTTCATTGAGAATTGCCTTGCATTCTGTTTTTAGGGTGTCATGCGTTTAATCATATATCAGTTAAAATTAGAAAGGGTTAAACTTTAGATTCAATCTGTATTATTTCAGAAGAGTTAGCCAAATAGTACAGAAACAAAGTTGTTTCATAGATATCAAAACTCTAGGCTGACCTACATATACATAGACTTCATTCCTTCAGTCAGCAAGTATTTATTGGAACCAAAGTACTGCTTAGTGTTTGGGACACATCATTGGGAAAAACACAGGACTCCTCCCTCCTAGAGCTTAGATTTAATAGAGCAGGATGTTTAAATTTCCCAGCCAAATTATAATGAATGTTTAAAAAGGACATTGCATGCTCTCGAGGCAAGGGAAAGCAGAGTTGGTGATAAAGGGAATCTGTAGCTCTACAGACTTGCTAAGGATGAAACTTGCATTGTCAGCCTCCCTGACTGAGATTGCAACAAGCTGCTGTTTCTGGAGAGGTTGGAGAAAGCCATAGAAAAGATAGGTTTCAGGAATAAATTTTATTTAAAAATAAATCTAAGTTGCTCTCTGGTAATGGTAATTTCTCCAAAGGAGAAATTTTCTCCTTTGGAGATATGATATTTCTATACGACTCATGTTGTGCTCACTCCTGACACCCTCACACTTCATCCTCTGAGAAGTGTGTACCGCTGTGCCTAGAAACTCAAGAATCTGAATTATAATTTGACAGCTAAACTCAAATACTACTTTTTAAAGATGCTATTTGGGATTTTAGCTTGCTATAAACAGGTACAGTGTGTATAATGTGTACATGTATCTAAACCACATCAACCCATCATATTTAATTTTTATGTCTTAATGTATGCTGCATTTCAGACATAGCTTCCAAGAGAAATTAACCCTTTCGGATATTGATTTTTCCTCTTAAAACAGGCTGGATGATAAAGGCCAAGTGGTTCGCATCAATTTCAACAATGCAACCAGAGATACGGTCTTCGATGTACCCATTGAAAGAGTTCAACCTTTCTATGCTGCCCTGAAAGAGTTTGTTGACCTCATGAACAGCAAAGAATACAAGTACACCTTTAAGATGAATCCAGGTGAGTGTGGTAAAATGACATCCAGACTGTTACTCCAACGAACTATTAATTTATATCAGACTCCTGACACCTCCACTTCCAGGCTGTTGACTGCCCAGACTTGAAAACAGTCCTTTTTGAGAGCTCTTTTGGAAATCCTATCACGTGAAATTTAAGAGCATCTCATTTAAGAATACTTCAAAGAGAGGCCAGATGAAGTCTCTGTGTAATGTTAAGACTATTTTACATTTTCTGTTCTGATAGCCACCTTCCTAATAAGTTTTTTTTAACTCTTCTTTTGTCATTTTCTTTATTTTTATTAACAAAAGCCACCACGAGCTGGATGCAATGGCACAAGACATTATGGCACAATGGCACAAGGGAGACAGAGGCAGGCAGATTGCTGTGAGTTTGAGGGCAGCCTGGTATTCAAAGCAAGTCCAGGACAGACATGGCTACCCTGTAAAACCCTGAAAACAAACAAACAATAGAAAGCCACCATGCCTCAAATCTAAGAAATAATACCATCTTCCCTTGCACCAAATGCTATATTATATTAAAGCATTATGAGCACAAACTAGATTCTAAGAAATGGTATAGAAATTACAACATGAACATAGCCGAAGTCCTAAAAAGGCATTACTTCTCTCTCAAGACAGAGAAAAGCATAGAGGTTACAAAAGATATTTATTTTAAATTCTTCTAGCTTGCTTAACAGAATTATCTTTGCAACTCCACTCCAAATTACATGAGTAATATGCGTATATATTATGGAATGGTTAAATTGAGTTAATTAATAGTGTACATTATTTTACATATATATCAGTTTTCATAAAAAAAAAAAAACACATAAGATCTACCTTTGTAGTGACTACAGCACATCCTTATTGATTATAGTCACCATGCTGAACAATGCATCTCAACACAAAGATTTGCATGTTATTTGCAATAAAAGGCATAATTTCTCTTTGCTGTTGGTTTGGCCAATTTGAACATTCTTTATAATTGTTTTATTTTTAAATTTTTACTTTTTTAACATGTTGAGTTTTTTGCCTGGATGAATTTCTGTGCACTACACAAATATGATGCCAACAAAGTCCAGAAAATGACATCAGATTCCCAGGGAAGTGAAGTTACAGACAGTTGTGAGCCACAATGGGAGTGCTGGATATTGAACAAGGATCCTCTGAAAGGTTGATTATCTTAATTTCTGTGCCATCTCTCCAGTCCCTGAACCTCCTCTCCCTCTCTTCATCCTCTTCCCTTCCTGCTGTATCATAAAACCCCGTCTTTAGCTCCTGAGCTAGGCTTCAGCAATATTCCTACCTCATTCTCCTAAGGAAATGGTACTACAGGCATACACACACCACACCTAATTGAGTTGTATTTAGAAATTTTCTTTGACATGGTTAAGTCCTATAAATAGAACTAGATAACTCTATAAAGCCTTTGGCATGTGGCCAAAGCAGATTTATTTTAGGAGCAACACCATATAAAACAGAAGCATCATGGGAAAATATACACAAAAAATAATAGGAGTTGTAATCCAAGCCTCACCGTTTCGTGGAAGAGTAGCTTTGGGTTAAATGCCTCAATTTGAGTCTTCTTATATATGAAGAGATGAAATGCTGCTCTCTTTTCAGTATTTCATTTTTAAAAGTGTATGTAAAATATGAAGAATATACAATATCAGCCAAAAATTTTACTGTCCTTATAGATAATTGAAGCTCTTGGAACAAAATGCCAATTATTTTTAAGTTTTCAAAAATAGAACACAAAGTCTTTACACAGAGAAAAACCTTTTATGTAGTCACGTCCATGAAAGCTCATCAAGCTATGAAGTTTAAATGTGATAGTATGTATGGGGAGCCTTTGCTTATGGTCATATACCCACAGATGACCTTAGCAAGTTCCAGGGTATAGTTTCAACCCAATAGTCACGAAGATGACCTTGGTAAAACTAAAGGGGTCACCAAAAAAAATCAAAGTTCAAGAATTTAGGAAAGGGACGGAATGTCATAGGAGTAGGCAGTGGTAGGGATGAGAAAGAATTATGAGAAAGCAGAGGGAGAGGGAAGTTAGAATGCATTGTCTACTAGTAAAAAAAAAAAAACGTAAATGTGTAGTTTTTGTTTGCAAAAGAAAACATGCTGTTTCCTAGTGTGGACTGAGTAGTTGTGGTATCTCGCATATTGCATTTTCTTGTAATTTGCATTTCTAATGAAAACAGTTTATTCTTATTAACCACAGTCACTATGTTGTACAACAGATGCAAACATGGGGGTTGTGTCATTTGCAACAAAAAGCATCTTTTCTATCTTGTAAATAATAATTCCTACCTTTGTAAATCTATTAGATACAAATTATTCATGACAAAAATTCTCCTAATTAGGTGATGTGATAACCTTTGACAACTGGCGCTTGCTTCATGGTCGCCGTAGCTATGAGGCAGGAACTGAGATAACTCGCCATCTGGAAGGAGCTTATGCTGACTGGGATGTAGTGATGTCAAGGCTACGCATTCTTCGACAGAGAGTCAAGAACAGAAACTGAATCTCCTGGCCTTAAATTGTAGTGCAAGTCCAGTGGCTGATGTTGTTATCTAAAGCCTGGTTATTCTCCTATCCTGACCAGCAACATTTATATATTAATGTCTTTAAAGCTGAACAGGTAACTTCTCTCATCATACTATTCTTTCTGCAATCACATTGAATGTCAGCTTGTTAGATGTCCTGATAGAGGGCTGGCTTAAGGTGTCATTCTGCGGCACGTGTGTTCTGACTTCCTTTGCTTTCACGAGTGTCACCAGAATACATTTAGTTTTGTATCAAACAAATCTCTCTGATGAATAAAACTTTTCTATACATAAATAAATATTAAAATAAGGCTTGTGCTTCATGTAAAAGGTTTTTAAAACATGTTCCTGCTCAGTTGCCTACATGGTCTCATTTTTCGTGACTGCATTTGTTAAGCATGCTTGGAAAATCTTTGCATTTTCAAAGATATTTTTTCTTTCATATTGCAGAATTTTGTTGCTCTTGCTTACAGAGACTTCACTCACTTGATAATCCCAACATTGCCTGACATACTTAAATCAAAACAGTAAGCCCAAGTATTCCAAATTAAAAGAAGAATTTTGTCTCCCTAAATTTGTTTTGGCTAAAGAAATACCCCCATAGACTGACACCGTTGCAGTTATCACCTAAAGATGGATCACTTTTTCTCATTCTTGGCCTTCAACTCATGTGAAAGATGTAGGCAACCTATTTGAGTGAACAAGATGTCTGCTTACCTCTGGACAGCCTTACCTGCCTGTTTCATCTTCCTACATGGTCACTACCCTAGGGAGGGGACCCATAGCACAAAACTGTAGTCTATTGAGCCTCCTGTATCAGTGAGATAAAGAAGCTTTGTGATTCTAATTTGCTGAGGTTCTGGTAGTATTCACATATTTCGTTTTGTCAGCCTGTTCTAGAAATCTTTTTTAACATTAATTAATTTTAGTATACAAAGCAGAGGTTTTTGTTGAGGCAACATCATCTTAATACATATACATATTTCCATATTAATTTCTCTATGCCTCATCTCCCATCTTGATGTTTAAGGCTCTTAGCACTATATTAAATAAGAATGAAAAGAGTGAGCACCTTGACTTCATTTCTCATTTTAGAGTAAAATCTCTGTCTCGCTCTATTTAGTATGTTGTCAGTTATAGTTTCTTCAAACCTTTTATTATAAGACAATACATAGGCTTTTTCTGAGTCTATTAAGACCATGTGATTCCTAGCATGGCTTACTTGTGTGCTGTACTAACATTTATCTCTTTATGTGTGTATTGAAGTCACCCTGTGTCCCCACAACAAAACCAACTTTGTCTGAATGCATAATTTTTTTTAAAAAAGTTCTTAAATTCCTGTCAGAAATAGTCCCTGTTCCCCTTATTATGGGAAACCAATTGGTTACTGAGCTACCACGGGCTACATCCGAGCAGAGGTTCTAGGTTTTATCCATACATGGTCCTTGGTGGAGTGTCAGTCTCAGAAAAGACCCCTGTGCCCAGATATATTTGGTCCTTGTGGAGCTCTTATCCTTTCCACGTCATACTAACTCCCCCTTCTTTCGAACTCAATGGCAGGCTCTTTGACCTCCTCACCCCCCAAGGGAGGATCAGTCCTGCTAGGCCACAGAGATAACTGATAAAACAAGGTCAGATGAAAGGGGAAGAGGTCCTCCCCAATCAGTAGACTTGGAAAGGGGCAGGGAGGAGATGACAGAGGGAGGGTGAGATTAGGAGGGAATGAGGGAGGGGGATACAGCTGGGATACAGAGTTAACAAAATGTAACTAATAATAAAAATAAACAAACAAATAAATAAATAAATAATTTTTTTAAAGTTCTTAAATTCAGTTTACAAGAATTTTTGTAATAAGTTACATCTATTTTCTTTTTTTTTCTAAATAGATGGTAAATTTATTGTTTTTTCAAGAAATGCAATTAATGTAAATATATACAAAACAAAAAAAACAGATCTTGTTTTAATTGTTTTCAAAGAACAGACACTTGCCTTGAGCCTTAATCATGCAGCATTATATATAATATTGGGAAACCTGTGGGCACAAGTTGGGAGCTTTTGTCATCAGGAAAATTAGTCTGTATTTTTTTGTTCGTTGATTTATTTGTCTGCTGTTTTGGTGGCGTTATCCAGTTTTGGCATCAGGATAATGCTGGTTTAGCAGGAGTTTGTTAGTGTGCCTTCCTTTTCTAATTTGCCTACAGTCTAAGAAATACTGTCTTCACCTCTTTTGACAGTTTGGTAAAATTCAGCAGAGCTTCCTTCTGACTCTGAGCTCATCTTTTAGAAACAGATGTTCTATATATGTTTAAGGTCTTTATATCCTCTTGATATAATCGTGGTAAGTCATATGTGTCTCAGAAGCCATCCATTTCTTTTAGATTTTCCAGGTATTTTTTAAATGCAAATTATCAAAGTTTTCACTAGAATCCCATAATTCATATGAAAGCATAAAAGACCACAGATGTCTGACACAGTGTTGAAGGTATGAAATATTTGTTTCGTTGGAATCATTGTAATATTCTTCTTTTCAGCCCTAGTTTAATTAATTTGGGTCCACAACTCATTAATTTCTACCCTGATGCTTATTTTCTTTTTCTGTGGTATGCATCTGTTTGTAGATCTATGTATGTATGTACCCTGGAAGTCCAGAAAAGGGAGTGAGATTCCCTGAAGCTAGGGTGATAGGCCACTGTGAGCCTTAGGACATGGGTACTGGAAACTGAAATAACAGGATACTAACTGCTGAATCACATTACAGCCCCATTTTCACTGTTTTTTGTTTTGTTTTGTTATGTTTTGTTATTGGAACTGGGTTTCTCTTTGCCTTTTTAAAGCCTTAAGGTGTATTGTTAGGATATTTATTTTAAACACTTTCTGATTTTCTTTTTAATGAGAGTACTTACATCTATAAACTCTTCTCTTAGAATGCCTTAGCTACATCTTATATCTTCTGATAAGTTTTACTACTTTTTCATTTCCTTCTAAAATTATTTTTTTTAATTTTTTCCCCAATTTCTTCAAGGATCCAATAGACACTCAAAATGCATTGTTCGATCCTTAGATATTTGTATATTTTTTTACAGTTTTTAATTAATTTCTAGTTTTAGTTTCCTATGCTCTAATGAATTACCAAAAAACATTTAAATTATTTTGTATTTGTTAAGACCTGTGGCCTAGTCTGTGTTCCCATTCAGGGGTCTGGATACTGGAAGTGCATAAAGAGACAACAACTGTGGCCTCTAAAGCACTGGCCAGCCTAGAGTGCAATGGCTCTACTGGCTGAAATAGGCACACATACAAAGTAGTCTGAGATCCCTAATATATATGGACGTGTGCAAAGTGGCTGTAAAATCATCATCTGAAATTCACATGCTTAGTAGAGTAACCATGGCTGTCTGGAGAATAAAAGAAGTGGCTGAATGCAGTCCTGGTAGTGGGATATCTCTGTATGGAGGAGGACCAATAGCATCTCCTTCTCTAAGGAGGTCTGTAGAAAGCTTACTGGTGAAAGCTCCTGGTACTTTTTTACAGGGCAGGCCTTGGGGTCAATACTGATGAACACTATAAAAAGTACAGGAAGTCCATGAAATTTATGGGACTATTAAGGTTCCAGTGACATCCTCTTCTTCTTCCTTACCGAGCAGGCTACATGGGAACATGCTGGCACTGCACATGGCATAGGCTGACAGCCACGGGCATTCTTGTTCTTTCTATCCCTCTTCAGACCTCAGCTAAGGGAGTGTCTCAGTGGTTCTTTGTCTGAAAGTTATTTTCTTGCTTTTGCCCCCACGGTGTCATTATAGGTTCTTAATTATATTCCTCAGCTCCCTCAAAGCTAACGCTAAACATTTTTGTGTAAGGCTTTCAAAGTTTTTGAAAAGAAGTAAAGAGATTACAAATATCTCCATCCCCTCTTCTTTGTGACATGGTTTCTACACTATTTTTTAAAAACTATATAATTCATGGTAGCTGATAAATGAAAGCAAATAATATCTAAGAAAATTTAGAATTGGATAATGATTCTGTTTCTTTAGTATATAACTCCTATAGGTATTTCTATAATTCTGTGTATGACTTTTTCAAGATTGATACCAGGTCTTGCTTTGGTGAAAGATTACTCTTTACCATCAATACTTTTCGTTGTGACCAGGAATGAGGTCAAAGTCTTTTAGACATCATTAATTGCTAGCTATCACAAGCATTTCATTGTGGTTCTAGTGCATCCAACATTTTAAATACACAGCCTGAAATCTGAAAGCAAATTTGTACAGGGTGTGGGATAGAAATGGGAAAATATGTTCTTTTTTCATATGATTATTTAGATTCGTTTCATTCTTTTCTCTATCTGTCTTTGCCCCATCAGTGGACTGAATGTGAGATCTTGCCATGTATGATGTGTTTCAAAACAACTATGGGGGGAAGAAATGCAGCTTTTTATTAGTGTGTTAAATGGGAAATAAAACTTATATGTCAAGAAATAAAATGGTATATTCATGTTTATTGACTCTTCTGCACCTGGAGCCCTCCCATCAAACAGATGTGTGTATCTATGTATCTCTGACCCAGAGCAACTCTTGCAGTAAAACCAACCAATCTACATCAACCTATTGAAAGCAAACCTTGTAGTTTATATCTATAGATACATACGAATCTTTTGCAGCTGGACCAGCATACTAACCTTTCTTAGAAAAACCACAACAAAAATTGGGTTCACCAATTTTTGTTGAAAATAACCACAGTAACAGTGGTTATTTTCAGTGTGGCTTCCTGAGAATGGAAAGTTTAAGTCAAGCCTTCGCTTACCGTATACACAAATAAAACCTGGTAATATCAATGCACTCACTGCTAATGTCTTTTCATTTTACCAATTGCAATGATATGAGGGCATTTACAACCAGTACTTTTTTTTTTGGCCACATCATGGGATGAACACTGGAAACATCTCTTTCTCAAGAATAAAAAGATGGGAAAATTCGTTCTCTTCTTTGCAATTACAAATTTTGGATAATTTCCAAATGAAAAGTTATGTGCACCCAAAAGTGGTGCTTTGTTTGTTTGTTTGTTTGTTTGTTTGTTTGTTTGGCAACTCTTCAATGAAGGTCGCTGAGTGCCATGTACACCATGCACGGTGACCATGATGTTGCAAAGGCCCATATGTTTGCCCAAGGAGGGGAAAAAAAAAACAGGGAATTAATTATGCAGAAAACGCTTGAAAACAGTTCTGCCCAGGGCTTCCAGGAAAGATTTAGTTTATAAGGAAAACATGTGGTAGGCAAGAGGCTGAGAAAAAAATGTTTTTCTGGGGCTGCCAGTGAGATCTATTTGCAAAGCTCCAGTTATAGAAAATAAGGTAAAGAGGCCTCCTCTGGGTCTTCTCTTTGCTACTGGAGGACCACAGGAAATAAGGGAAATCTTTACTGAATGAAAGAAGAGTGGACACTGCATGTGTGTTAGACATCTCTCAAGTGTTTCAGGCAGGAGGGAATGTATCCTGTGGACCAGGATATCAGAGCACACTGTGGTCTGTGGACCACCTATAAGCAAAACCTAGATTGTAGCAAATCAACATCATCTACCATGATAAGTTCAAACATAAGACATATAAGCTTTCTGAGTCTATCTTGGAAGCTCTAAAATAATCTCATCTGCTGTTAGTGATATTGTTATTTACGCTTTAGGAAACAGTGAGCTGAATGTTGTTGAAACAACTTTTAAAAAATGAATCAGTGTTTATGGGAGTGCTGGTTCATTATTTTTAGAAAGAGCAAACAAAGTCTAGACTTATAAGGCACTTTCTGAAAACTCAGCCTTTGGTGATTATCAGGCAAAACTCCCATCATAACAGTTATATAAAATAATAATAATAATAATGGTGCTTCCTTCCAAAAACTAGCCTTTAATGGTACTCAACAGTTTAGTTAAATGCTTCTATTAAGTATTCAGTCTAAAACAATAAGTATCTTTCTCCCTTAATTACATCTGACAGTCCCATCTGTCCCTTTTTTTCAAACTTTAAAAACTAAATTTGAATTAGGCAAAATACTACAATTTTAGTACAAATGAAATTCCCTGTCGGTTCACATTAAACACATGTACGTTGGCTACTGGGCTGTTGGTGTTGGAAAAATGTTGGGAAATGGGTGTTGCGGTGAGTAATTTCACAGCAGTACCTTCTAGAAGAGCTTTCTAATTTGGGACTGCTGTCTGGGTCTCAAGCTGTTCTAGGCACATTGCTTACCTTTAAGGAAACATAAGAACGGTTTCTGCCAGGACTAGCCACAGTGATTATCAGTAATGGAATATGCTGTGCTTCTGGGCACAGAATAAGAAAATAATTGGTTCATTCATGGTGAGGTTACAAAAACTAGCCACCATAAAAAACAACCGCTGCTGTGTAAATGATTTAGTTCCTGTTTACCAGAAGTATTGCTAATGAATAAAAGTCCTCTCTCGCTGAGATACAGTGCCCCACAAACAGGATGAAAATAGTGTATCTTCTGCTGTATCTACTGGCTGGCTCTTTCAGACACCCATTATAAAAAATAAGAAGGATCTTAATAATGGACTTTGGAAGTTTTAGAGTTTTTGGGGGGTGCTGTTTTGGTTTTTTGTTTTTTTGTTTTTTGTTTTGTTTTGTTTTGTTTTGTTTTGTTTGAAATAAGCATTTCGCTGCATATCCCTGGCTGTCCTAGCACTTTCTTTGCAGACCAGGGTGGCCTTGAGCTCACAGAGCTTCCCCCTGACTCTACCTCCCAAGTGTTGGGGTTAAAGGCTTGTGCCCCAACACCCAGTGGATTGGAAGGGTGTAAAATGGAGAAAAATACAAAAGGTGGTAGTTTTGTCTTAGGTTTTTGCTTGTGTTTTTGTTTTGTTTTATTTTGTTTCTCAGTGCTTATGACTATCTTTGAAGAGTTGACAGTCTTTTCAAAGGCAATCTGATCTTGGTTACCTATGCGAATCTAGTACCTCTTGATCTCCTGAGAAGCCTGCACAATACACAAATGCAGCAAGACATATTTTTATATACCATTCCCCCAGCTTTCATTTGTCTGAAAGTATAATTTTCTCTCACAAATGAAAAATTAATTTTTAGAGTATGGAATTCTAGAACGGTGGAGATTTTGTTTTCATGATTTAAGTATTTTACTTTACTTATTTTTCAGAATATGGAGTTCTAGATTAGTAAGTTTTGTTTCAATGTTTAAATATTTTACTAGAGTGAAATACTGTTTTTCATTTTTTTACCTGGTTTCTTATATCTGATGGAGACTTTATCCTTACTTCTCTGTAATGAAAGTACATTCTCTCCCCATGTTTTTAATGTCATTTTTTCTGAAGCTTGGATGTGCTCTGTCTATATTTTTGTTTGGATCTAGTGTTGCCTTCTATCCTACTTTGTGTTCTCTGAGCATCTTGCATCTATGAGCTAATGTTTGACATCAATTTGAAAGCTATTGGTAATTATTACTTCAAGCATTGCTTCAGTTTGTCTGCCATGTGGCACTCTTATTTGAGGAATGTACAGCAATTTTAACTCAGCAACATGGCTGCTCTGGCAAGAGTTTCCATCCAAAGACCTTCTAGGAATAATTTCATTCTCAGAATAATTTTATTCTTCTTCATGGAAACATCAGGTTTGCTCAGCACTATTTGTTGAACATGCTTTCTTTTCTCCAGCATGTGTTTGTTGGCATCTTTGTTGAATATCAGATGGCCATTTTACATATAGTCATGATTGGGTCTTCTATTTTGTTTTATGGGTCTACATTTCTGACTTTGTAACAACAGTACTATACTGGTTGTATTACCGTAGCTTCATAATATATCTTGAAATTTGGAATGTGAATCCCATTAGTATCATCATCCATTTTGCTGATTGTTTTGGCTCTACAGGGTCTTCTCTGGTTCCATATAAATTCTAGGATGTTTTTCTATTTCTGTGAAGAATTTTGTGGTATTTTTATTGGTATTATATCGAATATGTAATTTTCTTCTGGTAGGATGGTCATTTTCACAATATTCATTTTATTGGTCCATAAACATGGGAGGAGGTTCTTCCATGTTCTAATGCCTTTCTCGTTCTCTTTCTTCAGAGATTTGAAATTTTCATTATAGAAGCCTTTCAACTTGTTGGTTGGGTTTATTCCAAGATATTTTATTAACTTTGAGGCTATTGTAGTGTCCACAATCTCTCTCCATGTGTTTGTTGTTGGTATATAAAAAGACTACTGATTTTTTTTTTAGTTGATTTTGTATTTTGCCACTTTCTGAAATGATTGATGATTGTTTCTGCACTGGGGGGGGGGATAGGTAAGAAAATTCTTTCAGAGTTAAATATAAAACTGGGGTGAAAAAAGTCTACACCCAGAAGCAGAGCAAGTGTGTCTCCTGTAGGCAAAAATGTCCTGAACTGTAAATGAGAGTAGCTGAAGCTACACCTGAAGCCATTTCAGAATCCTTATATGAGTTCAAGTTTGACAGGCCAGTTACTTAAGGCATGGAAAGAAGGGAAATGAAACATTCTAGATCCAGTAGCAAATGACACTCATGGAAAGATGAACATCATAAATGTTCGTATTTGAGTCCACAAGGTGATGATGGGTCTTTTCCTGAGTCTGTGATTAGAGCCATAGTTGGTGTTATCTGACTTAAATCTGACTTCCAGAGCAGCTCTATGTGCCCTTGAGCTTCGCAGAGACTTTGAACTCTGCTGCATGGTTTCTAAAGTGTAGAGATTTGAATTCAGCAACATGGCTGCTCTGGCAAGGGATCACATCCAAAGGCTCTCTAGGTCCATGTGATCCAGCTAAACTGCAAACACACTCTAGATTACAGACACCTTTAATCCCCAAACGATGAAAGCAAAGTTAGTTTATAAGAAGAAGCAGTCATATTTAAAAGTGACATCTAAATGAGGGGCAAACAAAGTGACAAATCAGAGAACTATTTGACAGAAGGAGTTAGAGATAGAATACACCCAACTCTCAGGAGGACGAGATAGAAAAGAGAGGCTCCTTAAGAGCAGTGTAGGGAAAGTGAAGAGAGCTTTTGACTGAGAGTTTTTCACTGGGACGGTTTTACAGAGACAGGTAGCAGAAAGAAAAATTTAGATACAGGTGAAGGCAGAACAGGCCAGAGAATGAGAAGAATCCAAAAGATTAAAACCTATTGCCAGAATTAGTTTGAGGCCCAGCAGAGCAATTCAGTCAGAAGCCAAGAGAAGCCAGTTTCAATCAGTCCGCTTGAAGAGGAGTTTGGGTCAGAACAGCTGAGCTGAACCAGCCAGTGAGATTTTGGAAAGAGCTAGAAAGGCTTGGGAACATCTCTCATCTCATCCCCTTACCTGAGGAAATAAAAAAGACATTTACTTTAAAGTTCTTAGAAAGGCACTTTGGTCTATGATGGACATCAAAGTATTGAACTTTGATGGAAATGGAGACTTTATCCCCCATCTAGTTGGCCAATCTTGAAATGAATTTTGGAGGGAGAACAGGAATT